ACACCATAGCACCTTTGAGTTGCTTTAATTGTCTAAACATGTTTCACCTGCCTCAATAGCAGAACAGCACCTGGCGAAGAAAATATAAGAAGCCTAACTTTGAGGCTATAGCTGCTGTGTGTCTTCTTACTGTCACGTTCACTCAACAGCAAACACAGAACAAGTCTTTTTAAGAGCTGCAGTCATTTTCCAGGTCGTGTGAAAAGGGGTCATTGTGCCACACCAGACATACTGTAAAGCTTTCCTCTCCCTCCTTTGCCTCCTCCCTGTGCTCTGACACACATGAAAATGTTGAATCACACTTAGGACAGAACTGTTTATACACACAGGGCTAAATCATCAGAGGAAAAAAATTAACTCTCAAAATAGTGTATTTTAAATAATCAAAATCACATTAGGAAATAGGACTTAGAGACGCAGAATTGCACTGATGGTATAACGATATTTGTTCTACAGAGATGCCAAGCCCTTTTCTTTAGCTCATACTTCAAAATTGCTTTCAGTTACAAAATGCATTATATGATTTAAACATATTTTTTATAAAATGCGAGATAAACATCAAGGTGCAGAGAGGCCATCCTTCTACCCCACCTGAAGGAGTTAATGGTCTGTCATCTCTATAATAAAGATAAAGGAAAGGGAAAAAGCCTTAGACTTAATAACCTTGAAAAAGATAAAAGTGGATGTTTTTAACATTTTGTCTAGTGACAAAATGCAGCCTCATAAAACCAGCTACCTCTATTGCTTAGTAACCAGAGCTATATTGTGAAACAGCAGGCATCAGCTGAGTAAAAATAACCCTGCTAATTAATTAGCAAACATCACTTTGTTAGGATCTTTACAGAGAGGAAGGCAGCAGAACAAACACATCATGCTTGATGATGTTAATGTGGAGACTATTCATTCTATTACTGATTATATAGTATTGTGGTATTCTTGGAGTTACTATAAAAAAAAAAATCACACTTAAAGGATCCCGTAGACTGATGGGTCTTTAGTTCTAGCCTTTCAAAAACTACTTAGTTACTCACTCTTAAGTTTTTACACCTGGTTTAACTTTGTAAAAAAAGTCTTCAGGGGTCTTCAGGGAACCTTCTTCTATCTGATTATTAATCAAACAAATAATCAACAGATTGATCGATTTGCAAAATAATCAATAGTTGCAGCCCTAGTTTAAAGCAAAAAAAAAAATTAACAAGGATTTCTAACATCTAAAAGGACCAAGCTATCCAGAGCAACTTATACATTTTTCCTTGTTCAAAAGGAGAAAATTCACCAACATTTGAGATTTTATACAAAGCACAGTTTATACAAAGTCTTCTCCATATACCGGTATGTGGAGAAGACTTTGTATAAACTCTGGGATTTCCATATAATAAAAACAGATATCATTAGAAAAGAATATTACATTTTCCCTGGACAACCTTAAGAGATTATATGGGGGGAACCAACAAAGCACACAGAGGACACCCACCATGCTTGAAAGTAAACAAAGATTTTAAAGTTTATTAAAACAGAAAATTATTAATATTTTCTTATGCTATTTATATGACACTGCATCATCTTCTGCCTTCTTACAATTAACTTAATTTACTAGAACAAAACTAAAACATCTACCTTTTAATGTGACAGATCGACTTGTACAGTAGATGGATTCTTCTCCATCATATTCTATTTGCAATAAAACAAAACCAAGCATGAAAACATGATTACTATGATTTGGAATTCAGCAGCTAGAGACCCTGAAAGAGATCTTATGCTCTCTGCCGGAGGATTTCACCCTCCACATATATACAGTACCTTCCACTAAAGTCACATTCGTCTGACATCTATGAAAGTACACATCTACAATGTGTAACTTTGTGTCTGCATCAGCATGAGTTTGTGTGTTTCTGTTACACAACGGGAGAGTTCTTCCCATCTGCGCCTCTCTGCTGCACGCTGCATCCCGGGCCGCTGAAGCGAGAAACGACAGCTTTGCCTCACACTCTGCCTCCCTCAGTCTTCCTTATAGCAATGTTGCACTCTTTATTAGCATCATCCACTCCTCACAAAGCATACTCTCTCATCAGCTTATGCTATTAAAACTGGATGGATGGATGGATGGATGGATGGATGGATGGATGGATGGATGGATGGATGGATGGATGG